TGCTTTATAAGCATGATGGTAGGCAGTTGGTGTACAGAAGACCAAAGGAGCGCTTCTATCAAGCGTGTGTGGAGGAAAAAGTGGCGTACGGTGGAGGCTCCGTACAAGTATGGGCTGGGATTTCTACTGAGGCCCGCACCGAGCTGATACTCATTCAAAATGGAACTCTAAATGCAGAGAGGTACGTGGAAGAGATCCTCAATGAACATGTAGGTCCTTTCATGGCCAGGATGGACCGGCATGGCATATTAATGCATGATAATGCGCGTCCCCATACCGCCAGAATTGTACATGACTACCTTGAAGAGGTCGGTATCGAACTCATGCAGTGGCCAGCGCGAAGCCCGGACTTAAACCCCATCGAGCACGCCTGGGACGAGCTTCAGAGATGCGTGAAAGGTCGAAACCCCCCACCAATCACGCTTCCCGAGCTCAAACAAGCACTGGTGAAGGAATAGGAAGGTATTCCTCAGCACCGGCTCCGAAATTTGGTGTACAGCATGCCTAATCGCCTGGAAGCTGTCAGAAGAGCTCGTGGAGGCAATACAAAGTATTAAATGAAGAAAGTAATGAAAAACAGCAAAAAAACAATCATAAAAAAATGTAATCTTAAGAAAAATATGACTACTTTAGTTTTTTTTTAATTTAGAGATAAGTTAAGAGTTAGAGAGTTTAGATTTAAGTTTTATTTTATTTTTTATCTGTATAATTAAATTCTCAATTGAACAGTCTTCGTTTCATTAGGATGGCTTATGGTTTATGTGACTGACCCGTTATTTTTGGAACCGAGTTTAGTTTGTTTTTGTACAAGCACCTTGTTGATATTGATGGCAATAACTTTGCTACTTATCATTTATGAAGTTATGATCGAATTCCGGTCCGACAACGATCACTACAGTTAACATCATAACAAAAGATACAGTGACTCATTCTGTAAGTAGAAAAAACGTGGTTAGAAGAATTCCAACACACACACATTGGACATTTACACATTCGATATTTAATAAATTAAGCTACCTACTTCTATGATTAGTATTTAATAAAATACTTCATCTAACAATGTGTCGAAACTACGAAGATTAATGCGAAATGTCAACTTATCTTAATATCAAGAAATTTGTTGAACCTCTATTATAGTACAGTAATTTATAGGCACCATAAAATATCATTTAAACTGCGATATATACGTATATTTACTTAATCAACTTGTATTTGAAACAATGGTATTTGGCACGCTATCGAATCACATTTCTCTATGATTATGGGAAGATGTGAAGAAATCGGGTCGGTTCGATGCGCTTGCGGCGATTGTAACTTTTCTCTGGATGGTGCGTGTAAAGTAGATCTCCATGTATTTACAATGACCGAGGTGACCCAATTTAAGGTTTTTTTTTGCGATGGCAATTAGTAACCTCCTTTTCTTATCTTCGTTTATAATCAAAGACTTTTATTTCATCGTTTTGCGGAACTGTCACTTGAAATGATAATGATAAAACTTGATGGTGAAATGATTAATATCGTTAGCTGTGTTGGTGTGGGCTGGTTAATGGTCTGTTTTATGCATTTAACGCAACACTGCCTGTTTCATTCTTTGTGAGAATAGTTGTTAGAACTTTTTCTGTTGCCATTTTTCACTAATGTATTTTTGTCCTGTGTAGCTTATGATAATACGATCGTCAGGTACCAGGTTTAATTTTTGTGTTTCATCATATACTGTTAGGGTTTTAACTGACTTAAAAAATGGGTTTGTTCTTAATTCAGTTTTCTTTTTTAAATATTCTTTATTTTCGAACTCCATCATCTCTATACTTCTTGTTTGTTCCCATTAAACCTGAAGAAAAAATACTTCTCCTGAGGTTGGAAAATTTATCATTATGTGGGCGCATATATTTTTAAAATATTATATTTTTATTCCAATATTGAATTTGGACCCGAACTCAGTAGACGTAAAAGTCTCGCATTAAAACTAAATAATTACTTATTTCTTTAGATACGTAGATATTATGTCTTCTATTATAAACTTTGTAAAATTATAAATTAAACATAGAAGCAGTGTTTCTTTGTAACGCCTTTGTAAAGTCTTAAAATGTCAAATTAGATTGTTTAATTTGAAGCGTCACAGAAGAGACGTTTTGAGATCTACATGAATGTTGTGGGACAATATACACGGAACATAGTGCAATAATATAACTATCACACATCAAAGGACAATATGGCACTTTGTTTGTTATATTATTGAGTTAACGTGTGACATTAATATTGTTGTTTGATGTATCGTGTATTGTCCTATCGATGCTCTCACAGTGCCACTTTGAAAAACACTGCCTGGAACTGCGAAAGCCTCTCGGCCAGGAGTAGTTGTTGGATATCAATCATTAACAGTCGTACAATACACCTGTATACAATAAACACTTAAAGATGTTTTAATTTTACAGTTTTAGACGTAATTTAAAAATGTAAATTATAAACAATTCAATAGTATCGTTATATTCTCAATTAGATTTTTTTATAAAAATAATCACACACTGAAACAACACATGAGTCATAACAATCCATATATATACATCAATTTTGTTGATCACTGGTACCCAAAGTTATTTTTAAATCGTGGTATGGGTACCAGGGCTCTCGTCCTTAATAATCGTTTAATAGTCTTGTTACATAGAATGGTCAATCAAAATTCAACAGAGTCAAGAGTTACTACTCGTTTGGGTAGTTACGTAAAAACACATTAAACTTGAGTGCAGTAAAAACATTGTGAGCACTTTGACCCTATGTCTAAGCGTTACGATAAACTGCTCAAAAATAAAATTTCATCATCTACAAGCTACGAATAATAATTTTTAGTAGTCTACAAGATTACTTTATTTGCCCCTTTGAGAGTCTGTTGTAATGCAGGATTACAAATTGACACATTATTGCTTTGAAGATGTGATGGATGTAAATCCAATTTGCTTAGAAGGTACATTCCAATACAAAAACTAACTTGAAAAAAATTACGTATTTAAGTATAATATAAATATTGGCAACACTAAAGAAGATTAAAATTAGAGTGTGAACTACATATTTAATAGCATTCAAAGAGCTTAAATTTGAATTATATAAAGTACAAGACTTAAACTTCTAAATTGAAGTTGTGTTTCGAAATTACGATCAAATACGATACAATTGTTGATTACGAAACATGGAATCCGCAAAAGCCACATTAGCTTTGAAGCCTATCTTACTACATATAATAAACATTCAGTACGTAAATAAATCACAAGCGTGAGTGCAATCTCGGCGGGATCTTCTTTGACCTGTTACTTTCGCAACAGCATGTGGTCTACCCACGGTACAGCATCACTCTTGCAATCACTCCGAACACGAACGTCTTGCCAATGAATATGTCTATTACTGCAGAAAGTTTATTGTTTTACTGACCTTTTTCCAATTTTGGTGATTAAAATTAACGACTAAATAGCGTCTCAAAAGTTTTTTTACTAACATTTTATTATTTCGTCAGGTTTATTCATGACATCAGGGCCTCTTTTCCCAGTGGGCACTAGGGGCATGTGCTAAGGGCACCTTATACGATACGGGCTCCCTAATTTCTGCCAGATCAGCAATCGATATTTATTACCGAAAAACATATTAATTTGAAAAATCCAGCTATAATCACTACAATAATTTATTTTTTTAAATCTTAACAAACTAGTGCTCAATCAGATTGTACGGGGTCTCATTATTCTAAGGTGCCCAGGGCCTCCAATAGGCTATAAAGACCTGAGTGTCAAGTACAGTCTAGGCTTGAGTAACCACTAAATAGTGGTATGCATGTAGTAATAGATACTTACTTTACCGTATGTAGACGTTGAATGATAAAAGGGATAAGATTTTAAGAGTAAGTTAATTCTTTGCTGCCAATGCAGACATGTAAAGCTGTTTACAGGAAATATTTATTCGTAATTGGACTTAATATATTTTCTTCACGCCACCTCTTTCGGAATTGATGTCAACGTTTTAAACTCAGTATTCTAAATGGCACGGCGGGGTCACGTTAAACCTATTAGTTGTGATGATATTTGTTGTGTTGTAGCATGCACTGTGAGGAGTTTTCTAGTCAAACATCCCAACTAATAATGTACTAAGTATTTCGTCTGAATAGTATGATGTAATTCCTATTACATTAGCGGAATACGAATTAAACAGTAACACATTATGCTCTTATTATACATAATAGCACTTTCTTATTCAAAAAGAGAATGTAAAGACAAAAACAAGTTATAATATGAAATCATAGCTAACAACCAAGATGATATTTATTAATACATTGAAATACATATACATTGTATATATAAATAACAAAACCAGTGTGGTGACAGATTAAAAATACAGAGTGTATTCATAGCGAGGATGTCGTAACAGCCGACTAGGGTCGCAAACTACGCAGGACAACAGCAGTACAAAGAGAAGGAAAACTTGAAACAAACCCTAAACCAATCTGTCTGGAAAGCGTGGAATACTTAGTAGTAAAACCTCCCTTCTAAGGAGAGGCCTATGTCCAGCATCGGACTATTAAAGGCTGTTGTCGTTAAATAATGATCATGATTAAATAACAAAACTAAATTTAAATAGTCCAGTTACAACTACATGTTTTGTAGTTGTTTTCATAACCTTGATTAAATAAACAACACTCAAGATATCGTTTAAATTAAGTTATACCCGTTTAGGAGACAAATGTCACATAGCAAATTGAAATATATCCATTTCCATTTCTACTGTTGTTTGTCTAGCTTTCTTCCAGACTGACATATCAAGTTTTTTTTATTACTTTAAACTTTCTTTCACCTTAATAGCAATGAGTTATTCTTTACACATCTGTTTTACTGCCCGCTTGAAACGTGTGTGATATTTTCTTTTAAAAACGCTTAATGTCCATTTTGACGTAGCGGAAATGACCATTTTCTTTGTTGTTTGCTTTTGTCTAATAAAGTGGCTATAATGTACCTTATTATATAATGAACTGGTTAGCTGACATTTGTAGTAGCGAGTGTTTTCAACTTCCCCGAAGCAAATGGGATTCTCAGTCTTTAAGTGAGTACGTGGTGTCTGGCAAAGAGGCGGCGGGCAAGGAACGGAAGAGAGCCAGTACACTCCCGTCCCGAAGAAGTGACACCACGCACCTGAAAGCGAAGTATGATCTATGCCTGCATGAGCGCCGGCCAGTGGCTAATAACCAGATGAAGAACAAGACTCTCTGCACTCAATGGTTTAGGTGTATGTAGTGACCAAGGTCTGTCGGGTTCTCGGGGACTTTCTTCCTAGGGTATATTCGAGTCTCTTGCAATAGACTTACATGTGACGGACTACACTGTGTGGTTTTAGTCGGTTTGATTCCGACATAAAACTTCATGGTCAGCCCCGCAAAAAATGCTTTGCTGAAGATCATAACATCCTTTATACCCGTAGAAAGGTCTTTTGAATCGGGGTTAGGGATGTAAGATTTTTAATCTAGATGTGTTGGTTGTTTGTCAACTATATAATACCAACAAACTCGCTGAACAAGTTTAGTCTAAACTGTATATTAGGTAAGGAGAGACTTTTATGTCCAGGAGTTTACTATTAAATGCTCTTGATAATGATGAAGTGAAAAAATCCTGAAGAAGTACAGTTCCATTAAGTTTGTTGAGTAGTTTTGTATCTATTAAGCGGCAACGGTTAAAATTTCATATACGTACTGAGAAGCAATTCCTCATCATTACTTACAAGTGCCTTGAACATAAGGTACCGTTGTGTGGTGTCCTCGCTGCGTACAGCGTTGCGATTGGCGATGAGTTTAGTGCGGGCCAATTACAATGCCGCGGGCGCGTCAAGATCGAGTTTATGTGAAGTAAACTCGCACTAAACCCCTTGGTTGCAACTCACAACCTACAAAGTAGCTGCTCAAATGAAAGCGACCTTAATTTTACACAGCACATCACGAATGAGGTAAAATTATGCAGAAAATAAATAACTTACAACAGCTTGCAACGCCCACTCAATAATTATTGTAATTTGATATATACATATATGTATATGAATGACATATGTTATAAATAATATGTCGCCAGTTGATAATTATGGAAGTGTTATAAATATTCGAAAGGATCATAAGTATTCCTAGAGTATAAACATGTAGAGAGAAACTAATATAGCATCGCTGGCCATGTCTAGTCATGAGACAAAACCCAAAATATTGGAACCAGCCATGGGTAATTCTAAAACGAAACAGTTCAACATTTTTGTTTTAAGAAGTATGTAAGAAAACAAAACACAGCAGTTTATTAATTATACAATAAACTGTTTATTTTTAGTTGAAGTCAATTGTTAGTAAAATAAAGTTTTTTACGTCTCCTTTCTCTTGGAACTTTTTATATATTGTTAATCAATAGCTGGAGACGATGAAGTTGATGTTCAATTTTCTGAGTGCAACCTATCCTTTGCCAAAATTACGGAAGGGGTTTTGGCTGGTTTCTGTTATGGCCGATCAGTTGCTTAGCACCCAATTTCTTTGGAAGCGTAAAAGTCTTCTAGCGGAACAAACAAAGAAGGCAAATTAGGGCAAACACAACCATAGATAAGGACAGGTAGCTCGAAGGGACCGGGCTGCATATTAGTATGACCCTCCTGTTACTAGAGAATCCAAATTTTAACAGTTATGCAAAGTTAAATGAGTGGCGTAAAAAACTCACACCAAGTTATCAGAAGTCTTTTCTTAAAAATTACCTGATGTTCAATCGCTGTTACAAGCTTATAAAAAACGTTATATAATGTCCTGATGCAACAAGACGTTATTTGAACTTAATATTGTCAAATTTGTCCTAAATATTTTTTGTAACCATCAAAAGTGAAAACTAATTTAAATACAATTTAGTACGTCAGACGAACAATTGTACTGTACAGGTGGGTGTTATGAATCTCAAATGACGTAATTATCAACAATGTAACTGTTAGGATATTTAAACGCATTATGATAGAACAGGTGATGCAATAACAGCGAATCTAAAGACGCTGTGGCCCGTGACATCATCTTTATATGCAGTTTAGAAGAATCAGACCTAGATTAATGCGCTTTGCAGTATTAGTTATATTTCTATTTTATTTAAATCTCATAAAAGTTGACGTCAACTCACGCTTCGGAAATATGAGCATAGGTACTTATAATAAGAATAACCTTTACTCCAAGTCTCCATGAAGTGTATTTTGTTTTATTTGTGACGAATCTTTTTCTCGCGCTGTCGCTCCTGTAAAAGTTGTTTCTTTATCAGTCAGTCAGCCTTTTTTCCTAACTAAAAACCTTTCTTGTACCCCTGATAATGTATATCCAAATTTTTCACGATCATCATCGTTGAGTATTAAGAAGGTATATATAGTCTTTATCCTACCCTCTTCTCCTGTACCGTATAGAGATATTGTATATGGTTTAGATATTCTACTGCTATCATTTCCTTAGAGGTGCAAAATTCAATCTTAACAGAAACAAAAAATGCATGAATAGACTGCCGGTTTAAACAGTGTCACTAGATGGCGTTTCATTAATTTAGTCGAACACACAGTTTGACCTTTCTATTATATATACATATTCGGCAAAGGTCATCATTGTTGTGTTATGAAAGGCCAATGATTTATAATGAGCATATATATTTGTTGTAGATGAATGGTATTTTGCACATAATAATAATATTTAACTACCTACACGGATATTCTTCTTTTTATTATTGGTATGTTTATAACGGCACAGAACTACAGCTCTTGAAACACAGGTCCCCACTGAAACAAGTGTTCCGTACGCCCAGTATGGAGGTAGCACTGGTATCACTTTACGTATTGCTATTTTGATTTGATTTGACACGTTTCTCATTACCTAGAGACAGAAACAGAAAACATTTATTAACAGAAAAGAAATACACTTTGTAGTGTATACCAACGCAAAAATTGTTACAAAAATACATGAATGATGAATAATAAGACGACGAATAACAAATCCACACAATATATAAAATCATCATATCCTGTTGACATAGGAGACATTTTAAATTTGTTAAGATGATCATATCTTAGTGGTACTTATAGTACTTAGGCTTTGATATTAATAAATAATAAAAGTAAATAATAAATAAACATAAACATAATTGTGTGATGTCAGTCTTACAGGTAAAGTATTATGTCTTAAAAGTCATTTGACTTCTACTGAGTCAGCAAACAAGATGGTAAATGGTTATTGGTAGTCTCGTAACTTCACTTGTCAATAGAAAATATAAAAAATAATAATAAGTAAAACATCAGGTGAGTTGAAAGTATATCCTTTCACTCACCTGATGAAAAGTGACGAAAGTATTAGCATCATAAAATATAATTAATGAAGGTAGATTTACCAGGATTATAATCAACAAAGATTAAAGGTGTCTTGAAAAATAGACGCATGTAATTCCAGGTTTTAGGACTCGAACTTAAATGACACTGTCGCAGTCAAAGCGCTTAGTTCGACCGTTTTGAAGTGAGCTTTCGCACACTCACCAAAGTAATATTTAAATAGAAATCTGCTGAGCTGTGTCCTACTTTCCTATAAGTTTAGTTAGAATACTTTAATATTCCAACCATTAAGGCTGTATACGAATCTGTTGTAGTAGTTATGGTTAATTAAACATTATTTTTCTTTGCTGTCTACTATTATTTTTCTTTGCTGTAAGAAGCATCTCGAGTTCAATGATTGATATTCTCTGTTTCTGGTACATTTGCATGTCATATTAAAGCTATGATTTGACTTGATTTACTCTTTGTGTCCATTTCATGAATGTTTGTAAAACCCCTCCCGCGACGCAGGATATATTCATAGTGCCGGAGTTGTCTTTAAAAAAAAAAAAGAAAAAAGTACTCAGAAAAGTTTATTACCAAATTCAAACCGCAGACATGCCACATTTACGTTCCCACCGTTTAACTATTCGATACAAGTGCTCCTTTCGTGTCATGTAACGGTAATACACCACAAGACTTTAGGATTGAAATACGCGAAACAATGGCGAGACCTTCTTTGACGCACTCATAATTTTAATACTGACACTTAGACGAGACGGGATACAACATATTTTTCACTGTGGCAACTCCCAACCTAACAATTTATGGATCACACATTTTTTGTCTCACGTGAAATTCAAAATCAACAAAATTTGTGTAGCTTAGTGGCAAGGCGAGCACTATACGAGTACATATACCTTGCAGTATTTTCCTAAAGGAGACTGTGGTTCTATAGAGATATGTGGTACATCGTTGGGTTTTCAATGCAGGATCTAAATTGGTATTTTAGGTGTAACTGTACGGAAAGCTGGTACTTCTCTTAAACTTTACCAATTTTCCAATTGTAAAGTTATTAACATTTTTAATAGAATAATCTGTCTCCGGTAAAAGGAAAAAAAATATTAAGATTTCTATTTCATGTCAACAGATGGCGTCACGGTGACTGACAATGGGCGCACGCGGGCCACGCGCACTGGCGCTGTTGTGCGCGTTGCTGATCATCAGCGCGCGCACAGCTGCTTACACCGTTGACTGCAACCACGAGTATACCGACTGCGACACTGAACTTAGTAAGTATTTTTTTATATGATATTGAGCCTTTATGTAAATGAAAATGTAATTTTTTATAAATAAAAACTAGTAGAGTAGCTGAAGGTTTGAAAACTACGACTCTAAAGATAGCATTTAGGCCATTATTGAACAGGCGGTTCCCGATATTTCACTCACATTTATGTCAACTTCTATTTAAGGCTTACAGCGTGAGCCGTAACCTATCTCAAGAATTTTGCTGTCGAAAAGAAAATAACTGACTGAATATTAGTATGATCTGCAAATATTTGTTTCGGAGCCAAACTCCGTGTTTTCTATGTATAATATGTATGTATGTATTTACAAAAAAAAAGTATATAAGTATTGTATCAGTCAATCTAGCTTTCATAGTAAGAGCTCTGCTTAGTTTGAAACTAGATGGCGTTGTGTGTCAGATACTCGAAATATTATTAATATGTCCAAAATATTACTTTTTAAATAGTGGTTATGGTTCAAACGTTTATTTTCGTTGTGGGAGAGCGATGCGTCTCTATGTTTCTTTCATAGCTTTTAACAAGGTAAGTAAGGTTTTTATAAGCTCACCTCTTAACTCTGACTTGTGTTTGTTGAGTTGCAAGTGTCTGGACGGTGATACTCAATACCATCAGAGGACCCGTCTGCTTGTCGTCCCGTGTAACATAAAAACGGCGTGAGGAGTCTATGGACCCCCGGTCACACAGTAGTATTAGAATGTGACATTGCCAGTCGAGCGACAACAACCGTTAGCGACTTCGTTCGTAAACAACTCATTCAATTATTTCTTCGTACCTTCAATGAGATGCAATCAAATTTTATAATTTTAAATTAAACTATGGTTAAACGGTGAAGAAACTTAAATAAATTCACGTCTTTTACATAAATTTCACAACGATCATAATAATATAATAACAACAACTTGAGCAGAGCTTGTATTATGGAAACCAGACTGCAGATAAACAAAAATACATACATGTATTAGATAAATTACACTCAAACAAAGAATAAATGATCGTGGCCATCACATAATACACATAATACCACTAGACTCAAAAAAGTAAGCAAGTCTTTTCGTTGTCAGGGTGTGCGATTTTACAATAAAGTGCCAAGCAAATTCCATGAATTAAGTATTAACAAATTTAAGTCTTTAGTAAAGCTAAAACTATCTGAAAAGGCTTACTACATTATTACAGACTATTTAGACGACAAATTTGCTTGGGATTGATGCTGCTCACTCCCACATTTACGTGGACATCTTTGTTGTTAAGTTTGAAAGTGATAGACATTTAATTTTTTTTTTGGTGTATTTCGTATTTTGTTTTCATATTTTATTTTTCGTTGACTTTGAATTGTATAGTATTTTTTTTTATTTTTGTGTAAGTATGTAAATGTAAGTATAGTGTAGGCTTGTGATGTTAATTCATATATTATTATCTTTCTGGTGGTTTTGAGTGTTTCCACGGCCTACCCAAATGTCCTGCTGGCGGTAGTGTCATGCTTCGGGTCATTAATCTTTCGGTTAGGCTACACGATGGCTGGTGCCTGTATGCCGTCTGTATGGACAGGCTGACTCAAAACTATGGTCCTTTCCTCAAAATTCCTATCCAGACCCTATACTGTACTCGCACAGTTTTATTTAACTTTGTTTTAACTCTGTGGTTTGTTTCGGCGTTTCTTCCCAGAGTGAGTCTTAGGAAATGCCGGCTCCTTCTAGCTATAAAGTCCGACTTGTAAAAATATCTGAAAAGATTTACTTACAAAAATAAATATCATTTATCATTTATAATAATTAGTTCTAAGTGGGATTCGAATGTACGACCTCTGACTATGGAGAGACACTATTCTTTTTATGACAAATTGTATTAATATATATGTAATAAATGCTATTCCATTTACAAATAAGAGTGAAGAAGGAAAAAAAGTACCAAAAATGGACCACCAATATCCGTTTGATTGTTTTAATATTAATCTTTGACATATTCTTAATTCAAATCCATTTGAGGAATTCGCATTTTGCATACTTACTTACCTTCAGCACCCGGTCTAAATCTAAAAATGGACATAAAATAAACTTGTGTCAAACAAGTTCTCATTATGATGTCATAAAGTGGCACAACAAGGACATAAGTGTGAGGCAGTGTCAATGTTTAGTGTCTATGTAATAAATACATAACACTATTTAATAAGATTTCTTTTACAATTTATGCGAAAGAAATAATATTAATTAATTTTTTTTCATATTACCTACTTTTTATATTACCTAGGCCTCGCAAGGGAGTCATTTAGTATAATCATGTTTAATTAGTTATCTAATAAAAAGCAAAATTGCTTGAGAAAGCAATGTTATATCTTTTTTTTATTTTATTTATTTATTTATTCAAGGTAAATTGTACAGAAAATAGTGATAAAATGGGCGCTCATTTTTTTAGCTATAACAATTACATATAGAATATGCGGCTGGTACCTAAAAAGGTAAAACCTGAGATATAGGTACCAGCTACCTTCCAGTGACACTGAGTTATTAAATGCAGATATACATAATTTAATTAAAATTGCCCTGTACAAGTTGTAAATTAATTTACACAGTATGTTGTCTTACTTATTAATACCAAAACATACATAGTTACATATCAATTTATATAAATCTAATAATGCATTTGTGATGTATGTGACAATGTGTGTGTATGTCTGTGTGCATGTATGTGTGTGTGTGTGGGGGGGGGGGGGGGGTGCATGATCATATCTGAGGGTGTAGAATAGCCTCTGTGTCCTCATATGTGAGGGTCAGGAGATAACTTGTAAGTATCTTTTTGGTTTCAAATTTGGTTTTATTATGAAAAACAATTGTTTATCTTATTTATCTTATTGTATAAGTAACGTCCCAAGAAAAAATAGAACTTATGACCGAAAGATGTTGTGCAAGTTTAGGTTAATGGGATCTTACGAGTATGTTTACGACTTCTACGCGCCTGAGTAAGTACACTTAATAATGGTCTTTCAATTTTGTTCTTAGAGATGTGTTGCTTTAAAATTATTTGCAGAATGAAAATTTGGCGCACTGTCAGCACTTCACAAAACTCGTACAATTTTTTAGATGGAAAACGATAAGGTTTGAAAGTGCAGACTTTGAGCACTGCTCTTTGGGCTCTTTCGAGGTGAATTAAATGGCTTTTTGATGCTCCTCCCCAAGCAGAAATGCAGTATCCCAGTAAAGACTGGCAAAGCGCGTAGTAGACCATCTTTATAACGTTAGGATCGGCAACATGTCTTAAATGCTTGAAAACATACATTAACTTACGTACTCTACCACATAAACTGTCAATGTGTTGATGAAACGATAAGTGGTCGTCGAGTATAACACCCAAGTAGCGAGCAACGGATGTCTGATTGAGAGTAGGGCAGTTGCAAACATCACTACAAACTCCGTGAGTGTGGACAGTAATTTTATGGTGGGGGTTACTTGTTAAGGAATTTTTAATTTTGAATGTCATTTTGTTTGTTTTATTGACATTCAAGGTAAGTCTATTATTTGTTAGCCATTGTGTAATTCTGTTGAATCCAAGTTGCGCTGCGTGATAAGTTTCTTGCCAGGTTGTTGCTTTAAAAATTAATGCGGTATCATCTGCAAAGGCTACTATTTTACCACTTTCCAGGACAAGGTCGCACATCTCGTTAACATATATTAAGAATAGCGTCGGCCCGAGGATACTCCCTTGAGGAACGCCATATAACACTGGGATTTCAGAGCTAGTGTGTTTTCCCACTTTAGTACACTGTGTGCGATTACTCAGATAGCTCTGGAACAGTTTTAGTTGATTCCCCCGAATGCCTATTTTTTCTAATTTGATGGAGACAGTATCGAAGGCCTTTGCCAAATCAAGAAAGATTGCAAGGCATTTCTGTTTTTTATCTAGTGATTCGGCAATACAGTTAGTAAGGTCATGGACTGCGTCGTCCGTCGACATGGAATTACGGAAACCATATTGTCTATCAGATAGCAGGTTATTGTATTCCAGATATCCCTTTAACCTTTTGTTCATTATTCGCTCTAAAATTTTAGAAAGTGCTGGTAGCACAGAAATTGGTCTGTAGTTATGTAAGTTGCGTTTGTCTCCTGATTTATGTATAGGATGGACAAGGGCCTTTTTAAATCGATCTGGAAATACTCCAGTGCTAATACATAGATTCAGAATGTACGTGAGCGGCGGAATCAGACTAGCCTTGAACTGTTTAATGATATACATAGGAATGCCATCAATACCAACTGCACAGTTAGATCGTAAACTCATTATTTTATTTTCAACTTCAGCTTCATCTGTTTCAAGAAAGACAAACGAGTTTACAGTGGAAGGTTTCGTACCGCATTCCCGCCTGACAACTGCTTCGGTTGGAGTTGTTACGGTCTCGGCCAATTTTTTTCCTACATTGACAAAATAGTCATTTATCTCATTTATAGACCTCACAGAATTTCTATCTATAAATAGTAAGTCATTCGCGGTTTGAGTTCCTTTGGAGGTATGGGTAATAGATTGAATTGCATTCCAGAGATGTTTTGGGTTACTGTTTGCTTTTGTCAACATGTCTCTTTCATATTGCCTTTTGACATTTTTAAGCAGATTGTTGCAGAAATTCCTATATCTTATAAATATGATCTTTAGTGTCTCATTACTGGGGCACTTTTTCATTTTTTTATACATTAGGTCTCTATTCCTCATACATCTCAACAGCCCAGGAGTAATCCATGGCTTCCGTATTCGTAAACGGGAAGGGACTATTTGGGTACTCGTGGCCATACTGATAGCTGATGACAAGTCGTTTATGAGAAGTGTACAAGCGTCGTTACATTATTTGTTTGATATACTGACGAATAATCTATGGAAGTAATGTACTGTTCAAGAAGTATGGGATCAATTTTTGTCTTAGTTTTTGGGAAAACACTGTTATGAAGACGTTTGGACAAGGATAATAAAACTGCACTATGGTCAGTTACGGTAGATTCTAGTAC